GACTTCGCGACTACATATTTTCAGCTTTTGATGCAGAGTCAAAATATATAAAAAGGGCTTCATAATGTTGAACGAAATTCTAACTGCTGACAATTATTGGCGAAGATACATCCGTTTGAATTTGGAAACAGAGACTTAAAACGTCAATTTCTCGAAATGACTTCGCGACTACATATTTTCAGCTTTTGATGCAGGGTCAAAATATATAAAAAGGGGTTCATAATGTTGAAAGAAATTCTAACTTCTGACAATTATTGGCGAAGATACATCCGTTTGAATTTGGAAACAGAAACTTGAAACGTCAATTTCTCGAAATGACTTCGAGACTACATATTTTCAGCTTTCGATGCAGAATCAAAATATATAAAAAGGGCTTCATAATGTTGAAAGAAATTCTAACTGCTGACAATTATTGGCGAAGATACATCCGTTTGAATTTGGAAACCAAAACTTAAAACGTCAATTTCTCGAAATGACTTCGCGACTACATATTTTCAGCTTTTGATGCAGAGTCAAAATATATAAAAAGGGCTTCATAATGTTGAAAGAAATTCTGACTTTTGCCAATTATTGGCGAAGATACATCCGTTTGAATTTGGAAACCGAAACTTAAAACGTCAATTTCTCGAAATGACTTCGCGACTACATATTTTCAGATTTTGATGCAGAGTCAAAATATATAAAAAGGGCTTCATAATGTTGAAAGAAATTCTAACTTCTGACAATTATTGGCGAAGATACATCCGGTTGAATTTGGAAACCGAAACTTAAAACGTCAATTTCTCGAAATGACTTCGAGACTACATATTTTCAGCTTTTAATGCAGAGTCAAAATATATAAAAAGGGCTTCATAATGTTGAAAGAAATTCTAACTTCTGACAATTATTGGCGAAGATACATCCGTTTGAATTTGGAAACAGAAACTTAAAACGTCAATTTCTCGAAATGACTTTGAGACTACATATTTTCAGCTTTTGATGCAGAGTGAAAATATATAAAAAGGGCTTCATAATGTTGAAAGAAATTCTAACTTCTGACAATTATTGGCGAAGATACATCCATTTGAATTTGGAAACAGAAACTTAAAACGTCAATTTCTCGAAATGACTTCGAGACTACATATTTTCAGCTTTTGATGCAGAGTCAAAATATATAAAAAGGGCTTCATAATGTTGAAAGAAATTCTAACTTCTGACAATTATTGGCGAAGATACATCCGTTTGAATTTGGAAACAGAAACTTAAAACGTCAATTTCTCGAAATGACTTCGAGACTACATATTTTCAGCTTTTGATGCATAGTCAAATTATATAAAAAGGGCTTCATAATGTTGAAAGAAATTTTAACTTCTGACAATTATTGGCGAAGATACATCCGTTTGAATTTGGAAACAAAAACTTAAAACGTCAATTTCTCGAAATGACTTCGAGACTACATATTTATTGTTATTATCGCGAATAGTATAATAATATGTTAAAGCAACAATGTTTACATAGTTCTGTATGCACAATGTACATAGAGTTACCATAACATCCTGTATGCGAGTCTCTTAACAGATCACTGTAAAGACGAGCAGAACATTGGTTAGCGTAATTTAGTCGTTCCATTCCATTAAGCAGAGAAGGTCGCGCAGCGCTCGACGAAAAGTTATTAAAACGTTTATATGAACATAACCTCTATAGAAATCTCCTCGTGTTATTAATGGTCATGGGCCCGGTGTTTCGATCAGTAAGCCTGCACCCATAACCCCAAATTTCCAACAGGTTATGGGCCCAGCACGCTTCCACTGCGCGGAAAATTATAATAATCACTTGAGAACAATAGAAGGTTATAAATGCAAAAAGTGAAAAAATGAGTGCCTTTATAAAAATAGAACCACTGTGCGCAGAAAATTACGATACATGGAAATTACAAATGCAAGCCGTACTAGTGAAGAACGACCTATGGCAGTACGTGGACGGCACTAAGAAGTGCCCTCTCACGGACGGGAACGACTCCGCCGTATGGAAAACGTATGACGAAAAAGCACGTGCGGATATAGTGTTGGCGATTAGGCCATCCGAATTGGCCGTAATTGAAGGATGTACGTCAGCTGCCAACTGCTGGACAAAGCTTAGGGAAACATTTCAATCAAGAGGACCAGTGCGGAAAGCATCTCTCCTGAAGAAAATCGCATTGTCGCGGCTAAGTGAAGATGGCAATGCGCGCCAACATGTGTACGAGTTCTTCGAGGCTGTGAAGCAACTCAGAGAAATTGGCGTGACAATAGGCGATGATTTGCTCAGCATACTGCTGCTTTACAGTTTGCCCGAATCATACGAAACGTTTCGGTGCGCAATGGAAGCAAGAGATGATCTTCCAAGGTCAGATGTTCTAAAAGTAAAAATACTAGAAGAAGTAAATGCGCGCAAAACTAAGTGTGAACGTGAAGAACAAAACGTAATGTTCGCTCACCGACAAAACGGTAAACGCGATAAGCCGACAAAAATGCGAGAGAACAGAAAATGTTTTACTTGCAATAAAACGGGACATATAGCGCGCAACTGTCGTAACAAGGCAAAAGGCAAAGGCGAAGAGCCAGAGAACCAAAGAGAGAGAGAGCAAAGAGAGCTGAAGAAGCCACGCTCGCTTGTCAGACCAATTTCTGTGTAAATAAAGTTGGTATGTGGTGCCTAGACAGTGGATGTACGGCGCATATGACTTCAAATGTGGATTCCTTTGAAAATATCGCAATGATCGAAAAGACATTGCATTTGGCAAACAATGAAACGACACAGATCAGTGGAGTCGGTGATGTACGAATCGCAGTTGAAGAAAATCAAACAAAAGAGAATGTAACTCTGAGTGAAGTGCTTTGTGTGCCCGATCTGAGACAAAGTCTGCTGTCGATCGCAAAGATCACAGACAGAGGTTACGAGGTCCATTTCAGAAAAAACGATGCGTTGATAATGAAAAACAATAATATGGTTTGGTTGCGTGCAAAAAGATATGGAAACCTATACTACTTGGACAGTGAGCGGATCCAAGCAAACAGCATAGAAGGGCGCAGTCAAAAGAATATTGACATGTGGCATTACCGCATGGGACACTTAAACGAAGGAGATTTAAAGAGCCTGGCGAAAAGCGGCAAAGTTTACGGTATGAATGTCAAAGACAACGAAAAGTTGTCGAAATGTGAAGTATGTATAAGTGAGAAACAAACTACAAAAACTTATAAAACTACAACTGATAAGGGAACGACTGATTTGCTCGAAATTATACACAGCGACGTGTGCGGGCCAATGAGGAAAGAGTCCATGAGTGGTTACAGATATTATGTAACCTTTATCGATGATCAGTCAAGATATTGCGAGATATATTTCCTTAAACAAAAATCTGAGGTGTTTAAAATGTTCAAGCAATATAAAGCAGAAGTGGAAAACTTCACCGGAAGGAAAATAAAAGCACTACAATCGGACAACGGAACCGAATATTGCAACGTGGAGTTTGATAGCTATCTGAAGAAGCATGGCATCCGGCGTAGGCTTAGTGCCCCATATACGCCGCAGCAAAACGGATTGGCAGAGAGGCAAAAACATAACTCTTGTGGAAATGGCTAGGTGCATGATGAGACAAGCGGGAGCGCCTCCATGTTTTGGGCAGAAGCTGTAAACACAGCTTGCTGCATTCGCACAGGTGCCCAACGAAAGGACTATCTGGAGGGATTCCCTACACCAGGTGTGGACAAATAAGATCGTCGACTCTCTGGCCCACATGCGAACGTTTGGCACAAAGGCATTTTGCGCTGAGAAGAGGCGTCAAGAAAAGGCAAATTCGATTCCAGATCCCGAAGAGTGCATTCTCCTGCTGGGATACGCAACAAGCTCGAAAGCGTATCGGTTATACGTGCCGAAAGGCACAAGGTGATCATATCCAACGATGTAAAATTCTTGGATATTCCAGGTTTCAAAACGAAATATGAAAAAAATACTACGGCAAAGCAAGACATTGACGTCGTCATCACAACAAATAATGAGCCAAGTGAGCACTGTGAGGATGCGATGGACGAATCCGAAGAGGAGAAGCAAGAATTACTCAATCCGCGTCGTGGTCGGGGGCGTCCAAAAACCTATTCGGACGGGTCAACGCGGAAGGCCACGAAAATTGTACAAAGAGGTACGATGCAGCAGCAGCAGCAATGATGAGGCGGAGAGACGCCAAGGCAGAGGATGACATCATTGAGGAGTGCGAAAATGGCTTTTACATGCGTAGACCCGCGGTCCGTCTACGTTGCAAGCAGCTAAAATTCTAAGGAAGCAGACGCGTGGACTAAAGCAATCGAGGACGAGTTTTTAGCTCAAGTGCTGGCAAATGAAACGTGGGACCTCGTAGAACTGACCAGCCGATCGTAAAGGTTATCGGCAACAGATGGATTTCGCACAAAGGATGACGGCAGCGCTGAGCAGGAAGAAGAGTGCGTCTGGTGGCCAAGGGTTACGCCTACGGCCTCCAGGAGAAGATTATCATGACACTTATTCACCCGTAGTACGATTTACACATCGGTCGGACTGCTTATATCATTAGCATTGCGGCTGGACATGGAAATCCACCAAATGGATGTGGTTACGGCATATTTAAATGGAGAGCTCGAAGAGAGCGCTTCATGGACAATTGGTGAGGGATTTACCGACTTCGATGGAAAAGTTAGAATCAGGATCACCGATCGGAACAGAGGGACACCCCTCAAGGAGCGGCATATCTAAAAGCCACTGCAGCTTGGCGGAAAGGAATAAGCAAATCCAAGAATCCATGTTTGTCTAATACGGAAGGCCCTCATGGACTGCGGCACCCCTGGCCTACGTTGGTACCACAAGTTGACCACTAAATTACTGGAGAGTGGATTGGACTCATTGTAAACAGGACCCATGCTTATATTTGTAAGGAGACAAGGGAGCAAAACCTCTGCTTATCACGATATAGCGTTGATGACTTATTGTTAGCATCAAATGACCCTACGTGGATGGAAAATGTTAAGGCAGATCTCTGCAATGCTTTTGAGATGAAGGATAACGGCAAAGTGAGGACTTGCCTAGGCATACACGGTAAGCAGAGTATAAACAAGCACTGGATATTCATTTTCACAGGAACAACAATATGTTGGTGCCATATTGAAGAAATTTGGCATGATCAAATGTGCAAAGCCCGCATTGACAACCACCGAGGCTAAAGTGTAACCTGAAGCGTCCTGAGATTATCGACGAAGGCGAAATGCGAAAGTATCCTTATCAAAGCTTTTCTAATTGGTGCTTTAATGTTTTTTTCAGTTCCGACACGCCCGTTAGTTGCGTTTGCTGCGAGCTTTATGAGTCAGTTCAACAGCAATTACAATGTCGAGCACTGGGAAGGCAGCGAAAACGCATATTGCGGTATCTAAGCGGTACAAAGAAATTGGGCCTGTTATCCAAGCAAACAGGCGAGGATCTATTTGGCGTGGTCGATGCAGATTGGGGAGCGAATCTGGGCGATGGGCGCTCCTATTCAGGGCAGGCGTTCATCCTGTCTGGAGCAGCCCTGTGTGTGCTGGGAGCCACGCAAGCAACGTGCTGTGGCACTATCGGTACTGAGTCCGTTACCTTACGATGTCCGAAGCGGTCAGAAGCACTATATGCGAAAGGCCCTACTAAACAGTGTTGGCAAAGACTGCGCCACGGTGCATAATACATAATGACAATCAGAGCGCACAAAACGGACTTCGGCATCACCGCGGCAAAAAACATAGATGTGCGCCACCACTTCATCAAGCAAAAATACCTGAGCGGCGACATTGAGAGGTGAGTATAGCTACCAAAGCAGAACAGATGCCAGCAGACGCGATCACAGCCTGAAGGTCCAAGTGGGACCAAACATCGCGAATACATTTCGAGTTTGGGAGTTACATATAGGTAAGTTAAGAGTATTACTTTAAGGGGCGTATTGTTATTATCATGAATAGTATAATAATATGTTAAAGCAACAATGTTTACATAGTTTCTGTATGCACAATGTACATAGAGTTACCATAACGTATCCTGTATGCGAGTCTCATAACAGATCCCTTTCTGAGAACGAGCAGAACATTGGTTAGCGTAATTTAGTCGT